CGCAGCGTTATCAACACAATGAAATTTCAACTCAATCAAAGGAATTTCAGAGCAACAGAACTGAAATTCATGTTCCGTTCACCTTTGTGAACGGACAATTTATGCTGAAGTTAAAACGCTTCCGGAACCCTCGAGGTAATTCATATATCAGTAGGTGTGTCTGCGACTTCGTACGCGTAGAATTTTATGCCCAAAATTTGTTTTTGCAAACCTCCTATTCAACTCTATAAATTTAAGCTTCTACGTCGTTCTTGCACGTTAATTTTACAAGATAAACATATATTGTCGCAGATTTTTTTTATATCTATTAAAGAGAAATCATTCATACATTTTTTTGTATCTTAACCGTTTTTGTAGCGTACTTAACGGATATCCACTAAGGTGAATAATTGTCCACATTTTCCGTGCTCCTATTCTTGTGTCTTCGCCTGGAACTCTGCATAAGTCACTAACTACTGTCAACAGATGAAAAAGTCGTAAAGGTTCGGTTTCGAATTTGTGGATTTTCGAATATCTATATTATAGATAGAATATCTATATTTCAAATACTGTCTATAGTTTACGCGAGTAAACGCCTCAGCCAAATATTATCTAAACGACATGTACACATTTAAATAAAACACTTTAACGGTTTAAAACGCGATATATTAGTTAAAAATCATTTTCAAGTTAATTTCATCAATTCATCAGTTTAACTAATATATCGCGTTTTAAACCGTTAAAGTGTTTTATTTAAATATCTACATGTCGTTTAGATAATATTTGGCTGGGGCGTTTGACCCACCATCAGTTGAACTGTACGCTTGTCTGTTCTTCTTATTAAACTAATGCAACTACATTAAATTTCTCTAGTATGTAGAAGCTGACCTACATATACAAAATATGTAATTATTAAAAGAAGTATATATTACAAATGTGAGGCAAACCGCATTGCTAGTTCTAACTGTTCCAGAATAAAAACGGATCCAAGAAAACGTGAACTTTTGTTAGTAAATTGTATGTCTCTTTGTCCACCCGCTAAACTGGGTAATGATTTCAGTAAACCACATTTCCTAGCACAATTGTACATGAGTTCGCTCACTCTTATGAATTTAATTTCTATCGAATGATTTTTTCCCGTTCTTAAATACTGTCTATAGTTTACGCGAGTAGTACACATTTAAATAAAACACTTTAACGGTTTAAAACGCGATATATTAGTTAACTAATATATCGCGTTTAAACTTTTGTGAACCATTTTAAACTCGTCGAAATCAATCATTTAGTGTTTGTTACCTGTTTAATTACTAACGGTTAGATGCTCACTTGTCAATAATGTCTGCGAATATTTGTGTTAGTTATTATCATTTAGCTAGTAGAAGTTGTTTGTTTACTTTGTTTAAACTTACTAATCTCAGAAAAGTTACGAATTTTTAAATACTTTTATAACATTACCACCATAGCCAGCAAAGAAGCAGAGTGAGAGAGTTTAGGTAGAAACAATGGTTTCTAAACCAAAAGATATGTATGCGACAATGGTTACTCTTTGAAGGGTCTAAAAACCAGTGCACGACAGCACATATCTATCTTTTAAGATTAACTCGCGTTTTTGTGGTAATCAAACTTTGTCGAAATGATTACTGTCATATAATTCTTGACAGATTATCTTTATTTTTAGGAACGGAGTCACAGTAAGTTAAGTAAAGAAACTATAATTAGTCAATAATTTAAAATAAGAATTAAACTTTATTGTGATTTAGATTTTATTATATAGTTATATTCTACGTAGTAATACATCACTTGAAGTTCTCAAATAATATGATATATCATTTCTTTCATACAAATAAATAACTGTATCATATTAAAAACGCAGCAACATAGTATAAAACAAACTCTGAAAACCCGTAATCTCTTCAAAGGTTATTAAAACGGTTCACGCTCGAATATTTTTATAAAATGTTTCAACTTGTTACTAGAAGTATTTGCCCTCTTTGGATTTCAAAGCTTTAAGAAATTCATAAGTTATAATAATATAGTTAATATAATACTATTTTACCTGAATTTGAATTGTTTTTGAATTAAGAACATTATTTTTTACATGGTATCTATGGAATCTATTATATGGAAATCTTATTAATTATATTTAAAATTGGAAAGCTGCTGTCCTAAACTCGAGTCCCGCCCGTGTATTTTTTTTCACTCTTATGAATATTCATGGTTTCAATATACCTATGTACGACAATTTCAATAAATTTGACGAACTTTGACGAACGCTAAACGTATCTACAATAGTTCAATACAATACTTGGTTTTGAGATAAATGTGAGATGTGAAATTGAACGCGGTAGGGGATAATATTCCCAAGTGAAATTTATTGCTTTCACGTTTCTCTTTATACTAAGTAACTGTATAAACATTGCGACAATACATATATTACGCGAATGCCAACTAGATGGCGCTACGCGACATCTAGTGGGCATCGTTTTTCTACCCGAATCGAACCCAAAACGCGTGCTCAATTTGGTTTCACTTGGAACATCATTTAATGCAGGTGATAGTTTAATTAAATAAATCATTTTGACACAAATTTGACGACACGAGCATTGTTCGCATTCAAGACATTAGTGTTCCGTATTGCTATTTCATTTGGTAGAGCAAAGTGAAATCCCGTGTCCCCTCGTGGGGTAAGGGCCGAATAAATTACCGTGTCCGTTTCAGTGATCGGTTTTATTTACACGTATTTGATCAGACGCCTATACTATGCCCGACTGAAACGATTTTTTGTTTCTCGGGATTCGAACTAAGGACCTTTTGCGCTTAACACAATGCTATGAAACATGTCTAATCAGAAATCATTTACAGCTACAGAGTTCCAGGTACAGCAAGAGATCGAAAATGTTACTATTTGAATAATATCGGAAAGCCATTAGTGACTCCCGGTGTATCGTTTGTATGAATATGTATCCGTACAAATTAAAAATCGAAAATAAATTGAAAAAATTTACGACTCGGGGAGGACTTGAACCGTCATCTCGACTTTCCACGCTGTTGCTCTAGTGCCATGATGTGAAAATATTTCATATGTATTCGTAATTATTATTTTTAAGACGCTGTAGAAAATTAAAATAAATTACGATAGAGGTAATTTCAGTTTTGGGTGTCGCTAACTTTGTTGTATGACGATACTCGTACGAAAAATAGATAATTACAACAGTGCAGTCCGTAGCTCACTTGTTAAGCACAAAAAACTGGGTTCGAATTCTGTTGAAAAGATAGAGAGTTTCGGTCGGGTAGAGCACATAAGTGCGATAATGATAAATAGAACTGAACCATAAGCTATTGTGCGACGTTCAATTATTACGCATTCATGGGTTGTATAAAGGCTTCTAGGATAAATCACTGTTCTACCCTTTTTTTATTGTACAGCGCTACGCGTCGTCTACCGCCTACGGCGTAGCACTTTATACATTAATGAACCATTTTGTTGTACGAATAGTAAAAACAGTTATCTCTCGAATATATAACTTCTTGAATATTGAACTAGCTCTGTTAGTGACTTCGTCCGCGTAGAATTGTTATTTGGGCATCAATATTTGTTTTTGATACCCTAAAACAAGTGAAAAAACCACTCCCTAATCACGCGCGGCTCGTCGGTATGGAAGTTAAACATATAAAATAGACATAATATACCGCCGCGAACATTTTTTTAGATTATTTGAAGTGGATATAATTCTTTGATACATATTTTTTGGCATCTTGAATCTTATTCGCAGTGTACGCATCGGAATGCAACAAAAATGAATAAATTTCCCCGTTTTCCCCACAGTTCCCGCTGTTTCTTCGCTCCTATTGATTACAGCGCAAAATCTTCAGCTTTATGTATTAGTAAAGATAGATAAATTTATGGAATAAAATAATAAATTACTTTTAAACAGGTTCAAATGAAAACTATATTAGTTCAATCTTCGTTTAAGATTTCTTTTGACTTGGTAGGGTTTTGACCTGTTAAGAAGTATTTCATTTAATGAGAAGTTATTAAACTTTACTGAAGTGTTTTCTTTATTATTATTTTAATACTATTTTTGTGATTAAGTAAGATGGAGTGGATTTGATGGAAGGTGAAATAGCCTAGTCGTATGATCGAAACAAAATGAGCTTTCGACCTATTTTGGCTTTGGATAACCGAAAATCCATAGGCTAATATGTAACTAAAATAAAAACTTTTTACAAAGTCAAATATGTTTCAAATAACTTTAAAACGAATAAGAAACAATTCGGATCCGGTGGTGATAGGGACCCAACGACTCGTTGATTATTATTAGCTATATATTTTATTGACCTATGAACCCGTCAAAACCTATAAAAGTCATAAATAAAAATAATAAGTACTTTGCTTTTGATCCATTATCAAAGCAGTCCACTAATACGATTATGATTCAGACGTTTTAAATGAAAAGAAAAGTATTCTTTTCACAATATAATCTAGAAGCAAAAGATACAGAAATAAAATAAAAAAAAAGTTTGGTTCTCCTTTTCTATAAATATTCAGATGCAAGCTGTTTCAGCGCTTAAATTTAAAATGCTCCCGTTCCCGCTTTATATTTAATTCGTAAAAAGGTGTGTCTGTTTGTTTATGTTTTAACTTTTTTCTTATTTTTTACAAATAATATATACGCTATCTTAACAATAGACTATAGCTAAATTTAAAAACAAATAACCTTAGTATCTTATTAAGAGATTTAAAAAAAAAGAGAAATAAATATTTTTAAACCGTAATAGAATGTGGTCATAAATCTAAAAAGGTTCTCTTAGATAGGTGCAAAAAACATATCTTATAAAAGCTGTTAAAAAACATTCACTACATATTAATTATTTAAATACGCCATCGAATTGAAATTTAGAATTTTTTTTTTTAATTTCCCAAATATTAAGCATATTATAATACCATAATATTATTCGTATATAAATATATAATATGCGAAAAAGTATAAAAATAAAATTATAAACATTCTCTAACTCACCAGTAACAATAACGCTGAACAACATAGACAACTTTTTTGTACATTGACACCGATTCAAATTTAGAATTACTAAACTCGAACTGACAGTTCAAAGATTTGCCGCCGGACGTTTCCCGCGTATTCTGTACGCACGAGTTGATCTTCTCCGCGCCAACACTAGACTGGCAGCCAATAATGCGGTGACTAGAATTTTTGTCCGCTCAAAGACTAAGAATAATAATAAAATGATATCAAATGTGACTGACCGATACGAAATAAAACAATAGATTTCATCTTTACTAATCACGGTGTCGCCTTTGATACAATAGACGATGTCGGTTCACTTACCTTGCTGAGCGTGGGTTACCCATAACTACTGTCTTCATAAACCTGTAAATATAATAAAACTAGCTGACCTCGCAAAAGTTTTTTTATCAGAAGCAGTTCTGGTGGGTTAATCTTGAAAGATATACATAGCTGTCGCTGACGATATTATTACAAAGTGGTGGTTCGAAATAAAAAATATTTTAAGGCTTAATAAGGCTTTGGGCTATAAGTCAGGCTTGGCCTATAGAAATGCCTATATATATATATGCGTTAAGCCTATCTTTAAATGAGAGTAATACTGTTATTTTTAGTTGAGATGGGCGAACGACAGTAGGGTTGGTCTCATAACTTGTTTAGGTACCAGCTGTGGCAGCGACTTCGTCCGCATAGAATAGATATTTTCGGCATCAAAATTTGTTTTTGCAAACCTGCTCCTTATCTTTATAAATTATAGATGTTAAAGATAGGTACGGATACGTGGATTTTTTTAAGAGGAATTCAAGTATTTTTGGATATCTTGAACTTTTTGCAACACAGCAAGTAGATTTTTTCACACATTTCGAGTTGAGCCTGATTTTATAGCCCAAAGCCTCTCTCGGTGAACAACCCAACCGTCAAACATGAATATGTATTTCATTGTTTCCACGACTCCCTACTGTCTCTTCGCTTTGCAGCCTGTCGTTTTATAGCCTAAGCCTTCTCTCATAAATACTCGAACCAACACAGGAAACATTTCTCAATTTCGAAACAGTAGTTCCTGAGGTTAGCGAGTCCAAACGAACAAACTCTTCAGCTTTAAAATATTTGTATTGACGTACGTGGGAAAGCCCAGATTGCCTCATGTTTGACTCAACGAATGAACAGAAAAGGAATGAGTGATACTTATTTAATTCGACAAGAAGGAAGGTTATTTATGTATCGATATTATGCGATGTGGATTTGGGGGATATATAGCTCAATTATAGATAAGCTTTAACCTAATCTCTGTATTATGCCTTTCAATACCTTCCTTAATTAAGCCAAATAAGCTACCGGCTTAAATTATTTTGATCGCGAAATATACGACGGTAAAACGCAGCAAAATTGGTAGATAGCTACCAATTTTGTTTTAGACCTATCTAATTATTATTTATAACGCTTTCGGAAATTCATCAGAGTAAAACTGGCTTAATTAAGATGACAATGTATTAACAATGTACGCTGTTATTCGTCAACAAAGCCTTCGTTCGGCGTAGAATAATAAATAACGAAAATTTATTTTAAGTAGCATACAATTTTTAAATAAAACACTTTAACGGTTTAAAACGCGGTGTATTAGTTAAACTTATTTGAAAATGATTTTTAACTTCGGCCCGACGTTTTGGATGCTTTGCAGCAGCCGTGGTCACGGGTCTCCCCTAATATATCGCGTTTTGAACCGTTAAAGTGTTTTATTTAAATGTGTACTACTCGCGCAAACTATAGTCAGTATCTAGCATACAATTTTAAACTTTAATGTTTTTTATAATTTCAAATTTTAATTTAGCATATATATTTTTTAGTCTTATTATATAACTAGCTGGACTTTTTTTAGATCATTCTTTCATACATATTTTTGGGTATCTTGAACCGTTTTCGCAGCGTCTCGGAACCCATAATCTTTATCTATACTAATATATAAAGCTGAAGAGTTTGTTTGTTTGTTTGATAGCGCGTTCATCTGGGGAAGTACGGGTTCGAATTGAAAAAATCTTTTTGTGTTGGTTAGAGCATTTATCGAGGAAGCTAGGCTATAACACATAGCGATGTGACTAATAGGAGCGAAGATACAGCGGGAAATGTGAACAAAACGAGGATTTTTTTTAAAACTTGGGTTTATAAGTTGAAAGTCGAAAATTCTTTCTTTAGAACAGGAGTCGAAACGCTTAAAAAAGCTATTGCTTTGCAAAATGGCCATGAAAGCAATACAGTTTAATTATTTTGTCCATATTTCAAGGGATTTTTTACCAATTTAAACATCGAGGAAAAACTCGTTTGATGTATAAGAGCTTTACCTTAAATATTCATTTGAAATTGTTTTTACTGTTTCTTTTTATAGCGACAACGGAAATACGTATTCTGTAAAAATGTCAAGTGCTTAGCGTGTTGACAAACAGACTGGAAGTGTCTTTCTAGCCTCCCATAGCTAACAGAGTTCTATCGTTCTATTCTTTTTATCGTTTAGATACGGAATTCAGATCGCTTTCAGCTCGCGAGCTAATTACTTACTCAGATTAATTATCTATTACTAGCTTTGGCCGCGACTTCGTCCTCGTAGAATAGTTATTTTGGGCGTCAACATTTGTTTGAACAACAACATTGAATCGGTTTTGCAGCGCACGCAACCTACGATACCCTCAATGATAAATAATTTTCCAGTGTTTTTCACATTTTTCACTCTTATAGGTCACAAGATGATGTCTTCTGGTCCAAAACGATAAATGTTCTCAGCAACACAAAGAAGATGCTTTTCAATTCGCACCATTAGTTCAAACAAAAAACTCTTCAGCTTTATAATAGTAAAGACAAAAAAGAGGGGAAACGGAAAGTAATTATTGATTGTATTGTTTTCTGCTTGTCCACACGGCTATAATGTTAAATGATAAAATAATGGCGATTAAAAATGCATTATTATGATTTATGTTTATTTTATGTGAGCGCTATTTCGTAGGTTAATTAAGTTGCAATTATGTTATTGCTAAATTATTTATTAAATAAACTTATAAATATTGTCATGTCGTATACTGTTTGTACTTTATGACAATAGTAATATTAAAAATCCATAATGCCAATTTCAAAAGTGCTACGCTAGCGCCACCTGTTTCTTCGTTGTTGGTTTTCTATCACAAACCAGCCTTATGTTTCTCTCTCGAGAAGAGCATCTATAATAGTTTAGATTTAATATAGAAGCTAGGACCTTATGGTCATTTCAAAATAAATACTTATAATAAGATACAGTCAGAGCAAGTATCCATTTCTACAATAAAAATTTCATCTTCATTAAAGTTAAAAGAAACGTAATTTTGATATAAATATTTATATTTAATACCAGTTAAATATAATAATAAACTTTAAACCTCATTAAGTTTATTCCAAGAATTCACCGGAAGGAAGAAGTAAAAGTTGCTAAAAGCAGCCATCAATTTTCCAAGGGATTGCTAATGGAAAATTTACTCTCGGAAATTGGGGACACCACAAATGGGAAACTGAATACCTTTGAAAAGACACAAACAACAAAAGGAATATTGGAGCAAAATGTCCTCACAACCAACGTATGGCTTGTGATCGCCCATCCCAAGTCAATCACCTTCTACACGATTGATGTTCTATTGGCAAGGTAGAAACCTTCGTCCGACACGTGGATTCGATTTATAAAGATTTTCTCATTTTACTTTTCAACCCCTATTTAAGTTTGTATACTTTTGAGACAAATAAAAAAAAATTGCTTATTCTATTAAGTAATTTAATCTAGTCTCCCCACGACCACGGCTGCTGCAAAGCATCCGAAACGTCGGGCCATAGAAAAATAATTTTCAAACAAGTTTAACTAATATATATCGCATTTTAAACCGTTAAAGTGTTTTATTCAAATTTAACTTAAACAGTTGTCTCAGTTTTTAATAAAGGTAAAAAACTGTTTTATTCCATATACCGCTGAGGGGAACAGACACCGTATATGTAAAATTAGTTGCTTCTTCCCCTGTGGGCCATGGGGCGAACATATTGGCGTTTTTTACTGATTGGTTCTATTTACGCGCAAGTAGTTGATCACTCTTCGGGGATTCGAACCCAGGGCCTCACTTTAAATTAATTATTATGCATATTAAAATCGGAGCAAACTAGTGTTGCCCAAATTCAGTTTTGGTCTTGCAGTCTTGGTCTTGTTCTTGCATTTTTGCAAGACCAAGATCGCGTATTCTTATCAAATCTTCAGAAATGTCGAATCTGCTTGGTCTTTACTATGGCTATGTTAATTCAACACAATGTTCCAATTCTAACACGTTTTTCTAAGATCTAAATTAAAATTGTATAAATAGCAATAGCCTAATAGGTAATTGCAAGACCAAGACTGGAAGCCCAAGACCAAGACCAAGGCCAGGTGTATAGGCGCAAGACCAAGACCAAGACTGGCTAAGTCACGTCTTGTTCTTGCATTTGGGAAACAAGAGAGCAAACATGCATTTGGACACAACTAAGTAAAATATTGCTAGGCGCAAATATTTAGAGCACAAGCGCATATAATAACGTACTATTTTTATCAGCTTCACTTCTCCCTACTGCTAATTAATTTTTAAAAAACTAGGCGAACTTTTAATATATTCACAGTGTTTATCACAACTGTAAGTAAATTTTACACGAGCGTAACGTTTTGCGACTGTACAAAGGTCAGTTGTGTACATACATTTAAATTGATTTTTTATGATAGAGAGAAACAAGATGCAGAGTCAACCTATTTTGGCTTTCGGTATTCGCAAAATCATAGGCTAAAAACAAAAGACTTTTTGATTGATTTTAAATATTCCTTCCACCTAATTAATAACCCGATTTCCAGAAAAAATCCAACATGTTTCAGAAAAATTATAAAACGATTAGAGGCATGATTGTTAGATGTACATTGCTACCATTACACCAGCAAGCTCGTCAAAAATTTAAAGCATTATAACAATATAACATCTTCTTGTCTGTTGCTATTAAAAAAATACCATCATCGTTGTATGTCCATGGAACTAATATATGACATAATAAATGCATGTTCAAAAATCTAACACAATAAAAGCTCGAAAGATGAATAACTTAGGCTTTATTAAGATTAGAATGTGACCAGAACGCACAATTGATTCACATAACAAATAATGAACAGACATTAGACATTAGTACAGACAAAGAGAGCATTCTGTCTGTACTTAATTGTAAGAAGTTAGCCACAATAATAGAAGTACGAAGTATATTAATTACTTACGTAGCATAAGTCAACTGTCTCTGTATGTTACAAATCTACACTAATATTAATAGCTGAAGGGTTTGT